TTTCAAATCCATTATCTTGAAAATACCTGTCAATTCTGGTATTCCAAGCATGCGGAGCTTGCTTCAAACTGTAGAGGGCTTTCTTCAACTTGTATACTTTGCCTTCATTTTCAGCATCAATGTATCCAAGTGGTTGTTCAACATAAATCTCTTCTTCTAGGAAGCCATTCAGAAATGCTGACTTCACATCGAGTTGATAGATCTTCCATCTATGTTGTGCTGCTAGTGAGATCATCAGTCTGATTGTCTCTAGCCGAGCTACTGGAGCAAACACTTCTTCATAGTCAATGCCTTCTCTCTGTTTGTAGCCTTTCGCCACTAATCTTGCTTTGTATCTTTGCACTTCTCCTTTTGCATTCTTCTTTGTCTTATAGACCCATTTGACACCTATTGCTTTCTTGTTTTCTGGTAGATAAGTCAGCTTCCAGGTATCATTCTTCTCAATGGCATGTATTTCTTCATCCATTGTTTTTATCCACTTCTCTTCTATGATAGCTTCATTGAAGCTAAGTGGGTCACTATCTGCAAAGAAACAAAATAGAGTTGTATCTTCCATTACTTGAGTGGCGTCATACAGCTCTTCTAGATTTCTCATCCTTCTTGGTCCTTCTGATGAGGATGCTGATGATGGTTCTCGTAATGATGGTGTTGATGATGATTCTAGCGTGTTTCTCCTGTTGAATACAGGAAATCTGTGTACCGGACTTTGTGGCTCATCTTCTGGTATTATTGGACCTTTTACAAATACTGTTGGTACTTCTTCATCTTCAAGGATCAAATCAGTGCTGATCCATTTAACTGCTTCTTGGTCATCATTCCATTGCCAAGTTTTATCTTCTTCAAAGATAACATCTCTACTCATAATTACCTTCTTGGTGATGGGATTATACAGCTTGTATCCCATCCTTCTCTGACCATATCCAACAAATATGCATTTCTCACTTTTATCATCAAGTTTGGTTCTTCTTGCATCTAGGGTCTTTGCATATGCCACACAACCAAAGACTCGAAAATGAGTAACACTTGGTTTGTGACCACTCCATGCTTCTTGTGGAGTGACAGCTTGCAAACTTCTGGTTGGGCAACGGTTCAGTGGTTGGGCAAGGGTTCAGCAAATATACTGCACATGATACAGCTTCAGCCCAGTATTGCTTGGGCAGATTCTTTGCTTTGAGTAGAATTCTTGACATATCAAGAATTGTTCGATTTTTCCTCTCAGCTACACCATTCAGCTGTGGTGTATAAGCTGGTGTTGTTTGATGTCTGATGCCTTGTTGTGTACAAAAGGCTTCAAAGTCATTTGCTGTATATTCTCCACCTTGATCAGATCTCACGGTTCTGATCTTATAGCCACTTTGCTTCTTAACAATTGCTTTAAAATCTTTAAAACAATTGAACACTTCTGACTTCCTCTTCAGAAAATATACCCAAGTCTTTCTGCTAAAATCATCAATGAAAGTGAGAAAGTACCTATTTTGTCCAGTCGACATAAGCTTTATAGGACCACACACATCTGTGTGTACTAACTCTAGTGGCTTGTTTGCTTTCCAGTTGACTTCTTTGGCAAAACTGGATCTGTGATGTTTGCTGAGGACACAACTCTCACAGACTTCTTCTGGATGATTAATGTGGGGCATACCTTTGACCATCTTCTTGCTTGCTAGCATCTTCAGACTTGTGAAATTCAGATGTCCAAGCCTCAGGTGCCAAAGCCATTCTTCACTGTTAGTGATGGCACCCAAACACTTTGCTGCATCATATTGGATGTTTAAAAGAAACATCCTATTCTTAGACATTTTCAGATAGGCAATTAATCTCCCATTGTAGTCTGTAATTGTCAGATGACAATTCTTCATGTAAAGTGTATAGTCTTTCTCCAGAAGTTGACCTATACTCACCAAGTTCTGCTTTATGTCTAGGACATAATAGACATCGGCGATGTAGCTTTGATCGCCATTCTTCAACTTGATTGGGATGTTGCCTTTACCTTTGAATGGAACTTTTGAGGTATCTCCAAAGGTGACAAAACCTTGTATGGTCTCATCTAGATCACCAAATAAATCTCGTTGGCCACACATGTGATTGCTAGCTCCAGAATCAAGATACCAAATATTCTCTTGATTCTTGTCAAGTCCTTGTTGGACAAATAATGCAGCTACTCCTCTACTGTTGGCATCCTCTTCTGCATAGTTGACTCGCTCACGTATCTCCAGTGGATCTTTCTTTTGACATTCAGTGCTATAGTGGCCAAATTGATTGCAATTATAACACTGAATATTCCTCTTGTAACGGTTATTGTAACCGCCTCTTCTTCCTCTAGGAGTGAATGCTTGTTGTCCTCGACCTCCTCTAATGGTGTTTCTACCACCTCTTCCTCTAAAACTTGTATTCCAAGAACCTCTACCTTGAAATCGTTGAAATCCTCCTCATGTTTGTTGACTTCTTCCTCGAGTGGTGTATCCACTTGTTAAAGTCTCTCATTGCTCATATCTGTCTTTGAGAGACAACTTTGCTTATAAGGCATGCTCAATTGCCTTATCTCCATTTCTTTTTACAATCTTCTGCTCATGAGCTTGCAAAGAACTCATAAGTTCATCCATTGTTAACTTGTCCACTTCTTTGGACTCTTCAATAGCGACAACAACAAAATCAAATTTTGGATCTAGGGATCTCAAAATTTTCTCAGTAATTCGAGCATCTGAAAGGGCTTCTCCATTTCTTCTCATCTGATTGACTATCACCATAATTCTTATGTGATAATCAGAAATGGATTCTGAGGACTTCATTTGTAATAATTCAAATTCACCTCGTAAAGATTGGAGACGAATCTTCTTTATTCTGTCAGCACCTTTGTATTTTTGTTGGAGAGCCTCCTATATTTCTTTTGATGTTTCTGCGGAAACAATGATTTCAAATGTCGCTTCATCAAGACCTTGATAAATGATGGTCTTTGCTTTGTTGTCTTTCTTTCTATTGGCTTTGAGGACTTGCTTTTGTACCTTTGGTAAAGTATCTTCTGATTCTTTGGACTCTGGTTCATCATAACTATATTGCACAATGTCTATACACTCTTGTGAACCAAGGAATGCCTTCAATCTGATGCACCAACTATCATAGTTGTCTTTGGGATGAGTGTTTGTGCATTTTCTGTAGTCATTTTGCTTTTTAAATGACTATATCACCTTTTGGGAGTTGAATTTGGCAAAACCGACACCGTAGATGGATCCGGAATGGTCCAAATAGTAGGGAACCGGTCTGACTTTGTAGAAAACGGGTCACAAATAGGGTGAACCGGTCCAAAAACCAATTTGGGTGGTTTGCTGGGTTGAACCGGGAATATTCCAAGGAATATTCTTTTTGACTTTGACTTTAGAATATGGCTCGGAGCTTGGCTTGGCTTCGAAATATGGCTTGGAGCTCGGCTCGGCTTCGGAATATGGCTCGCGGCTCGGCTTGAGGCTTGGCTCGGCGCGGCTCAAATATGGTGCGTGTGGCTCACTCGTCTTCTTCCTCGGGGCGAGTGGGCTACAGTGCTGAAACTTTAGACCGAGAGTGTGGTCCACCCCGTGCTCCGATTGATCTGATTTTTGCACCGATGAGTTCGTATTGAGGAGCTCTACACTTTGGAATGATCAAAACTTGTTTTTGACAACTTTGAAAATTCAGACATTTCCCAAAAATACCTCTGTTTTCTGACGAATGAGGCTCTGATACCAATTGTTGGTGGGAGAAACCACTTGTGGTGGCTTTGAAACACTCGGAAGGGATAAAACACACTCTTTTATTTCAAGAACAAAGCTTACAATTACATAAACAAAAGCTTACAACAACCCCTCTTTCTTTCTCTCTTTCTCTCTAGTGTTTCTCTCAATCTCTCCACACTTAATTGCATAAGTTTAAATGCCTATTTATACACGAAATCAAAACAAGAAAATTCAACCTTCAAGTGTGAAGGCGGTTGTGGCCGACGGTGTGAAAGCGGCTGGCGGCCGGTGGCTGGCGACTGGTCAGTTGGTGGCTGGGCGGTGACAGCTGGTGGCTGCCTTCCTTGACCTTCTGGATTGAGTTTACTTCAACAGAGAGCATAAGACCGAGAACAAAACAAACACTGACGCGAAGGAACAAACACAGGGGACTAAGAAAAAAAACACGAACGAGAACGCGAACGAAGGAGAGGACAGGAAGCAAACACAGAGGAGAGAGGAGAGAGGAGAGGGTATACAGGAAGAGACCACAGAAGAAAGAAAAAAGAAAGAAACGCACAGAGAAACCAAGAAGACGGAGATAGAATCGGAGAGAACGAAAGGAAGGGAAAATAGAGGAGACCGGAGAAAAACAAACAGAGAACAGAGAAAAGAGAAAACCAAGCTACAGAAACAATACACAAGAACAAAAAGACCAAGAAGAATAAGCATGTCAGAACACCAGAATATAGAATCATCTATTAATTTCACATCAAAGATCCCATAAAACGAATAGGGAGGTTGAGCACATCTCGATTAGGAAAGATTCTATAGTAAAAGAACAATTCGGAGAAAGACTTCAAGATTCTATAGTAATAATTCAATCAAAAATCCAAATGTTCCCAACAACATTTGATAAGGGTGAATAACCAGGTTCACGTGCAGAGATCACGAAAACTTAGTACAGATAAGATACAAAGGATATGATATAAGTTTATTCAATACATCAATAGTGTGTAAGCTTATTGTAACTTATTACATGAACATTATATTTTTCAAAACATGTGCCACATCACTATTATACCTTAAGTTACTTCCACGCTATACGTACCACACAGGGAGATGCTATAAGCAAGGTTGCTATGAAGACAGATTGATTTAAGGCCCAGCATGAGACCATATATATAATTATGCAAATAACTGGATGTCTTATCTTATGGTATGAAATCTTCAAGCCTGGCGAAATTCATGCTTTATTCAATGATCCAATCAAACATCACAGACCATATAATTATGCTAACTGCTGGATTTATTATGTTATGGTTGGTAATCTTCAAGGCTGGTGAAATTCATGCTTTCATCACTGATCGAAGCTAAGATCTTAGAGAAAGAGTTGGCTAAGGTTTTTGGAGGGTATTGATCTATGCAGGTTTTCCAGACATTTGTGTCCTCCAAGTCCTTCATAACTTTCCACACACAATTGTTGCACTTAAAACCTGCCCCAAGGCTGATCATTAGTATTTTATCACCCTTCTTGAGCCTTTTCTTAGCTTCCATGTAACCTAAAACATACCACAGGCCGCCAGATGATGTATTTCCAAACCGATAGAGTGTCATTCTAGCTGGCTCAAGATCATAATCATTGAATGCTAAACTCTGACCAGCATCATCAATAACTGCCCGCCCACTAGGGTGTACACAGAAGTGGTCGATTCCAGACTTGATATCCAAACCAAGTCCTGCATCCGTAGGAGCTGGCCGCTTCATTATTTTATTTCGATAATAGCTTATTCGATAGCGGAGCAACTCTGACAGTGGTATAACTTTAGGAAGAAGAACTCGGAGATTCATGGTTAAAGCTTCAGCACCAACTTTGGGCAGATCTTTGTTGAACCGAAAGCCATTGTTTCCAAGGTCATCTTCTGTGTCTTTAAAGGCCTATCTAGTTTGAACCTTGAGCCACAACACCAGGCCAGCTCTCTCTCAAGTCTCGTGTCATGAGCAAAATTAATATAAGACTATTTAGGGGTACA